CCTTGGCTCCATGGCACACATCTGAGGGAATTCTACATCTCCAGAGACCACTTCCTCATTGCTATCCATGCTTCCCTGGATAGCTAACCTGAATTCGCCTGACCAAACCAAACTTCAGCCAAGGCTATTCTAGCTGCATTCCTCAAGTGAAAACAGAACATCAACCTCCATTTTATACACTTCAACAGTCAAGGTCAGATTCTTTCAGCTCTCACCCCTGACTCAGCTCTGGCATGGTGGCAGACAGGTGATGAAAGGAATCAAAAATCAAGGCCGAGTCTGAGTTAACAGACAACCCTGACAGAGCTGTCCATAAGTCAACTGCCTCAGATTCTCGAGCTGTCTTTGTCAGCTGCCAGTCATATTTTAGGCTGAAAAACACACATCCACCAAGATCGTGCATTGTTTTTTATATATATAATCTTACTTAGTTAATTACGATACAAATGGTCAAGGGCTATAGGAAAGTGGGTGATACCATTGTTTCTACGCTAGTATCATCATTTTTTCCCCCTGTATCTGGGGTCAGGGGAGAAACAAAGGGAAAAGCCCCACCTGGCCTCCCACCCATCCCAGGTCCCTGATGCGAGGCACACTCCGAGGGTCCTGCTCAAGCAGTTTTGATAGTTAAACAGTTATGAATTGCTGCCAATCTCGCCGTTCCAAGCACAATGAAACTATTCAGAATCCACTGGCTGACATAGTCTCTTCATGGCTAAGAATCTGAAATCAGCAGTTCAGTTGGAGGGATCTCCAAAGAAACTTGATCTGATGTGATCCCAAACCTGATTCTTGTGTGTGCTTGCCAGTACAGGGTCCGGCACCGTCCATCACCCCAATGCATATGTTGGTCATTGCAATTGCTGGGTCAGTTCTGCTCTCAGCCCTGTCTTCCACGTGTACCAAGTATTGCCATCCAGCTGGATCCTACCCATCATACTCGGCAAACCTCATACAAACCAGTGGGAGCTGCAACCTAGTTGGGGTGACTCTACATAACCCCTATCAGGCCAGCCCCTTCCCTGGTTCCAATGCATGTCAGTATGCACAGACTTGTTTAGTCTGTCCCACATCCCATTTAGCATGTCAATGGGCATTGAAGCCTAGCTTAGCCCAACAAGCCCTACTATCCAGCCACACACATATAGGCAAGTGCCTTTCTGTCTAGCCACCCCTGTCCCTGTCCTGGTTTTCATGCTCTCCAGTGAGAAGTGCACATTATTTCCCTCCTAGGCCACTCCCTCTCCCAGGTTATGCACTCTCCAGGTGGTTCTGGCATTTAACTTGACAGATTTAGCCTCCAGTGCCAGCCTCTGCCATCTGATGCTGCAGCAAAGCCCAACCAACCCTCACCCACTCTAATTTTTGCTTGCACCAGTCGGAACAGTCAGTCCAACCTGGCTTATCCCTTTTCTAGCTCACAAGAGGCCCACAGGTACTGTAGCCCTGCATGGCCTGGTCTGTCCCCATCCCAACTCACACTCTCTAGTGAGAGTGGTTGTCCAGCAGAGGAGCCCACAATTCCCCTGCCGGCTTTACCCCCTCCCTCCTTGGTTCTTATATATGCTGTTTGGGCATTGTGGCCACATCTGGTATGTTTCTCCTCACCTTGGCATTCAATAATGTGCACTGGTATGTGTTGCAACCATACCTGGCCTGACCCACACTCTATTCTGGTGCTTGGATTCGCCATCAGGTGATACCAACTAGTTCAGCCTGGTCTGCCACAAACCTATGCCAAATGTATGCCAGTGATTATCTTTCTCTGGCCTTGTCTGGATTGTTCCCTGCCATGGTTGTTGTGCTCACCTGCAAGGACTGTGCCCTGACAGAGGAGTTTCCCAAGCTCCTCCATCAGAAACTCTCCCTATGCCAGATCTTGCACATACTGGTGGGTCCTACTTAGTCCACCTCTTGTCCTGGTAGAAACAGTGGCCTTTCCTTGCTGGCCTTCAATCCATTTCAGTTCTTATTGTTGGATGTTTCAGCCCAGCCAAGGCTCATCTATAACCAGACACTGCTCACACATGGCTCAGTAGGGGCAGAGACCCAGCCTAGTCCATCCTACATCCACCCAGGTTTTCCAGAGCACCAAATGGTGCTGGTATCGAGCTTGGTTAGGTGTACCCAGCCCCAGTTCAAACTTGTACCAAGGGAGATTGCAGCCATATGCAGACCAAAACGCAGCCCCCACTCCAACCCCGCACTCACCATGGGGAACCCCAACCCAGCAAGGGTGTTCTTTCACAGCTCCCCAACCAGGTCTATTCCCTGCCCTACATTACACACGTGCCAGTGGTTACTCTGACCCAGTTGGCTTAGCCCCTAACCTGTCTCAGTCTTTGCCTTCGATGTTGTGGCCTAGTATCCCTGGCTCATGCAGACCAGTTGGTATAAGAGCCTAGTTCAGCCTGACATGTGCTTCCTCCTGATTTCTACTCTTCCCTGTGAGTTGAGGCTTGCTGGTCCTGCCTGGTCCGCCTCTTGCAGTTGCAGCTCGGCCCACCCCACATCCTATTTTAGGATGCATATTTAGGTTATGCTGCCTTGATGTGCCCAGACTATTGTCGGTACCTTTATCTGTAAGTGATGGCAGGTTCCATGGTCACACCTTAGCTTAGCCCATCACCACCCCAACTCGCAAGCTAACCAGCAGGACTTGTATTTCCACAGGGTTCTGCCCACACTTCCCCCACAGAATCTATCCCTGGAACTGGTTCTTTAGTGTGCTGGTTATTGTCTTGACCCTGCCAAGTGTGACCCGTCCACTGTTCTACCACTCAGTCAGGTACTGGTACCTAGCCCTGCCAGACAGGCCCCCATCCTTAGCCTTGGTGTGGGCTGGTGTATGGCAGTCAATGATGCTCTACACTAGCAGCCTATCTCAGGATTCCCAATTGGGCTGGTGAATCAGTCTGGCCCAAATAGATCTTGTGGACTCTCCCCTCCAAACCACCAAGTCTCAGTCCCTACCCTTGCCAGAAACTTCCATGACCACTTTGCTGAGAATCACTTGAAATTCATCCCTCACCTACACTCACACTGGCCTTATTCATGGATGTTCCTAGGTAGCATTACATATCCTAAAAACCCCAGAGCTCGCCACTAGGCAGCCAGCAGGCAGAGCCTCACGTCAAATAGGCGCACTGGCCACACAAAGCCTAGGACTCGGTCACCACCTGTCTGCAGTGACTTTGGTCTGAGTCCCCAGCATTGGGTCCAGCCTGGCTGGGGCACCCCCCCCCCCAACCGCCACACTGCAGGGAGCTGCTTTTGCCCAGCCCCATAGCCAAACTAAGATCACTCATTCTTTATGCCATTTTCCCCTCTATTTAGCCACAGCCTGTAAACATGTATGATCCTACACTCAATCAACCAAAATTTTTGATCATGCAAACTTACGACAGTTGTATTTATGCATGAATTATATGCAGTGCAGGCAATCCTTTCATGTATCAAAAGTGAATAAGCCTTCATTTCTTAGATTTTGGATAGGAAGATTAGATACCAGACCTTGTCTTCCTGTACTCTCATAGGGATTATCTTGTATTTCCTGGAATGCTTCTAGAGATTCCCAGAGAAACCACGTAACTACCTTCATGGTAGCTTCCTAGAACCCATGTGCCTTGGCTTCTGCCAGCATGCAATTTCCTGCTGTGCCAAGTTTCGGCCCTCTTTCACAGACTTTGCAGATTGGTGGATACCATCGTTGAGCCAGGGAGGAAGTGGTATTTTTAACAGAACCACAGGCAGGGACTGAGCAACTTTTGTCTTACACAAAGTTCTCCCCTCCACCACCATCTTACTTCCTACCTCTCCCTGCGATTACATCCTTTTCCTTCCCTTCACCCAGAGGCAACGAGGCAAAGACAAGTGGGCTTTGAGACCTGAACTATGGCATTTGCTCAGTGGGGACACTGCACAGCAGCAGTAGCCCCCAACCTTGCTCTCATGCCTCTCCCTACCATCCCCACGAAGCCACACAGCACAACCATCAACTAAAGAACGCTTGAGCAATTCAGAGACTGGCATCTAATGAAGCCAGGTGTAAACTCTATGGTTTCTTAGCAACAGCTGACTCACCCCTGGGAGCATATGGCAGGAAGTGAATGGCCCGGTCTGCTCCATTTCTCCTTGATTGTCTGCGAAGTGGAAATTCATCTTCTACCCAAAGACAGTGAAATTCCACTGTCTCTTCTCCAAAATGGGAGCAATAGGGGTCCGTAAGAACACCAGGGGGCTGGTGAGAGCACCACTCTCTGGGCAGAAGGAAGTCCCTCTTCACCAATGAGCAAAAGAACAGTCATGCTATCTTGGGAATCTGTTTCCAGAAAGACTTTGCCCTTACACCTGAACAGGTCTGCAAAATGCTATAGGCTCCAGTCTTGCAGACCAGGAATAGCATGCCAACATGTCCCAGCTGAGCCTCTATTTAAATACATTACACACAAAGGAAAAGCAAGTGTTTGAATAACACACATTGAAATTTGCATGTACTCATCATTCTTCCCCAAGCTGGACAGTTCATTTTCTAGCAACGTCTATATTCAAAAGGAAATACTGGGAGACAGAAACGCCATTGCACCATGTCCTGTTCTTTCTGCTCTTGTCCTGGTTGCTCAAGGAGACCCCATTATGAACTATACTGACATCACCACCAGATTTCTACCCAGGAAAGCAAGGGGCAGGAGAGCTGAGGGCTGTGACTGTGTCCTGCCTGTTGCTTTGGGGCCAAATGATGAATCATGGCTGCATTTCATGGAGGTACCTTGGCCCTAACCCCACAGGAAACTTGTCCACCCCCTTACAAAGTGACTCACTCTGGTACCTCTGAAGCTGCAGAAACCACCTCACCCACCCCCCACTATCCCTACTTCCTTTCTTTCTGCACTAGAAATATGCTGAGATAATAAAGGGTGTCCACAGAGCCTCATAGATTAAGTTCAACCCATGCCCCTGGCCCTACTCTGCCAGTTGGCAGCATCAGGATTTGGACTCACTTGGCAGTGTAGACACGTTCAAAGGCAAGTGTTCCTGTCCTCTGGAAGCTCCGTCCATTCTGAATCTTGCTTTCGTGCTCCACTTTTTGGGCGAAGAATGCTGCCAGAAAGGAAGGTTTGGATTTAGTTATCATGGGCATGAACAGGGTAGGTGTTGTGGTGCAGCGAGGTTAAACCACCACTTGCAACACTGGCCTCCCATTTGGATGCCAGTTTGGATTCCTAGCTGCAACTCTTCCAATCAATATGCCTGTAAAAGCAGTGGAGGATGACCCAAGCATTTGGGTCCCACTACCTGTGTGGGAGACTCAGGTGGAGTTTCAGTCTCCTGGCATGTGGGGCAGTGAACTAATAGATGGATTGTGTGTGTGTGTGTGTGTGTGTGTGTGTGTGTGTGTGTGTGTGTGTGTAATGTTGCCTTTTAAAAAACACTATTTTGTTGTTGTCCTAGGACATTAAACACTACCTTCCTTGACCTCCAAACAGCCCTAAATGTTCTCCAGGAGTATATTCAGCAGCTTCCATCTCTTAATCACCATGCCAGATTGAGAATGCCAGACACAGTCCGCACTGCCAAGGGTTTCACAATTTGAAGAAACAGAAGCACAGTAGATGAGAAAATACTCCTCATAGGCATTCATGGCAAGATGAGGTCAAGTGCGTTCACAGTGCTACCAAAGCTCATAGGAGGCAACTGAATTCACCTTTTGGGTCAACAGATTAATCCCTGGAGAGAATGATACGTAAGATAAAGTCTGAAGAACAAGTAAGAATTAGCCAGACATTTGCAGGGAGCAAGGGGCACCAACTTTGATCACTCAGTTCAAGAGAAACTGAATTTGTAATGGTCAAGGGGAAAGAATTGCCTGTATTCAGTCTGAACAGCTTGGCAGGGGTGAACGCAGAGCCTGGGGATTGGGACCTGGTAGAGCTACAAGAGAAGCCAGCAAAGCAGGTGAAGCTATTCTTCCTATGATATGTACCTTTTGTCACTCCCTCTACACCAGACATTTCACTTGTGTCTGGGAATTAAACAAAGAGTCTTGGTTCCAGGAGCTTCTGTTCTGGCAAGGACGATGGATGACAAGGAGACAGACTACAGGCATTAAGCAGAATAAATAAGCTCCAGTGGCACAGCGCACTGAAATGTGGACTGAAGGAAAGTGGAGCAGGGTGAGTGGTTGTCTTGAACCCCTCAGGATGGAGGATGGAGTGAACTTTGGTGAGGAAGGAACAATGGAGCCCTGGCTTTGCAAAGAGAACATCTGTCTGCACTAGGCCCATTGAGTTTGACTGGGACCGCAATGAGAGCCATAAACAGGAATTCAGACTTTGCTTCCAGCTGAGAGCAACCGGGAATTACAGAGAGGGTAAAAAGCTAAGGATGAGCAGAATCAGAAAGCCACTCTGTCTCTGGAGTGGCAGAGGGGTCAGATCAGAGTGCAGAGACAAGACAGGGCTATTTGGGTAGTGGCTGTGGGCATATGTGCAAGGCACTGAGGATGCACAATCTGGAGGGTTTGCTTGCATGGTGGAGGATAAAGGCCTCTCTCTTCCCTCCTAGTTTATACCTTTCCTCCTATTGCAAGAGTGAAAAGGCAGAAATGTGGTTTCCAGGGATGCACCCTTTTCATTCACTGCACATTAGCCCCTCCAAAAAGACATGAGCAGGCAGCCTTATCCAGTGTAGGAACATGTCCCTTTCGGCATAACCACCACGAGACTAGTTTGTCTGATGAGATCTACCACATCCTAGATGTTCTCACATGTACTTGACTCACAAGAGTGCTGCAAAAAGTTCATCGCAAAATGGAATGAGAAGATAAGCTTATTCGGAAGTGAAAACACCCTTGAAATGCATGCACAGTTTTCCCCTGAATACACCTATTGGCACAAATGTTTGGAGAGCCCTAGTATTGTTTCCGACTGAATTTTGTGCCAGCTCTGTGAAAGGGTCACACTGTCCTCACCCCATGCATAAGGACACCAATGGCTCAGGGAGGTGACGTGACTTTCTCGGAGTCCCCCCACCTGGTGAAGCTGGGGGTTCACATCCAGCTGGGCCTGTGACAATGCATGCTCCCTTTAACTCTCTGCTACACTGGGTTTAGAATGCCTATTCTTAATGTCTCTTCCGACCACAGAGTGCACAGAAAGCTCTGATCATTTTCCTTACAGAACCCAAGATGGTGTCCCTTGCCTGGAAACATGTCAGCAGAGCTAGTATTGAGAAAGCCAGGTTGTTTCCTCACCCAGCAGCAAAGCATGACCGCTCTGCATCTGGCGCTGTCCTTCCTCTCTTTGCACAGGGAAACAAACCCCTGCTTTCCCAAGGTCAAGTGCGCTGCCCATGATCTTGACTCCATTTCTACCACCTGCTTCAGGTCTTTTTTTTTCTCCTTCCATCTTCTGCTCTCCTTCTCTTCACACCAAAAACACCTGAATATCTTTTCTGTCCCTAAAACAAAAGCAGAACAAGCCAGCCTGTGGCCAATGTTACTTCTCCTTGCTTCCAAGCTAAAAATGTAAGAGTGAGCTTGCTGCTTTTGCTTCTTGCTCATCACCCACTCATTCCTTTCCTCTGTGATCCTCCAGTGCATTACAGAAACTGTGCGTGCAAAGATCACTGACACAGAGATCTTGGCCAAAGCCAGCAAGAGACAGAGAGAGGACAGTTACTGAGAACGGCTGTGTGCTAGGCACTGCTGGTAACCTAACCCACATGATCTCATGCAATGCCTTCCACAACCACACATGGAAGTTATTAACAAATCCACCTCTCCGTTAAAGAAACTGTGGGCCAGAGAAGCTAAACAACTTTCTCAAGATCATGTAAAAAGGTCTTGAGGTTTTAGTGAGTGGCAAAGTTAACATGAACCAATACTGTGATACAAACTCTCAAAAGAATAACTCCTACATAGATCATTTGACTAGAATTGGTATATGAATCTCAGGAACACCTGTCTGAATTTCAGAAAGAACACAAAAATGGGGAGCAATGTCACAATGCCAAGGGAGCTGAATCAGATGGGAAAGGCTATTTTGAAGAAGGGGCGTAACACCTGACATTGTGAACACAGAAGCAGGAGGCATCGTTCAATCTAGGCTTTCCCGGAGAATGGCCCCTGAACCACTGGATGTACGACACGAGGCAGCAGACTCCAGCTCTGCTGCAGAAAGGACTTTCTGATGGGTGAGTGAGCGAATGAATTGGAAGCAACAGACCTAGTGTAAGTGTTCACCCTCCAGGGTCGGATGTCTAGGCTTGGAACAAAGGATTGCTAGCTCTGGGACTTTCAGCCAAGGGTTTATACTCTCGGGCCTCATTTGCTTCTCAGTAAAATAGGAACAAATGGTCATAAATATTATGTAAGGTGCAAGGATTAGATGAGATAGTCATGCACAGCAGACAGCACTGTGTTGGATGTAAAGCAAGCTCTCCATGCATCTACGAATGGATAGGGAACTTCGGTGGGTTGTAAACACGCTCCACCACCATCACCACTACCACCACTGGACTGTGCAGTTGAGAGCAGCTGGGGATCATGTAAAGAAGATTTCCCATTCAGGCAGCACCCTGAGTTTGTGGTTCTGCTTCTAGGACCCATCAGACCCCAGGGAGGTGGTCAGGTCTTCCCATGGGGTGTCCCTGGAGTGCTTGTCAGTGTGTGTGCTCCACATCAGAGCAGCAAGAGCCTTGGCAGGAGAAAGTGGAGCTCCCTGTACACTCTTCATGGCAGGTGTATCTGTCCAGACCCCCGGAAACCCAGGTTTGTTAGTTCTGACCCACAACAACTTATTTGGAATGTGTTCTGTCTGTTCTGCCAAGTCTGCATTGTGCTGGACCAAACTGGCAGAGTACCACCAGTTCAAAGATCTTGATGACTACAGGACATTTGGGTGGCAGAGGAGGAAGTTTCCCTAAGCAGGCAGTGCTTTACCCATGCTCAGAAAAAAAAATCAGACTCACAGAGTACTCCAAAAGTGCAGAGCCTGGCACTGCCACAGACACACATGGCTTGGGAAATAGTGGATGGTATCTGACAACAAGGAAATGTTGTTGACAATTCCCAGGAGTGGTTCTGCCTGGCATCTTGGAGTGAAAGGGGGAGGGAAGAAGAGGTTTTGCATATTTTTTGAACCCTGAAAGGTAAGCCTGTGGTTGCAAACTTTGAGGTGAATTAGAATTGCAAAGAGGGGTTTGACCATCTATATGACCCTAAAAACTCACAGCTAACAATCAATAAAGGTGTCATCTCCCCAACCTCTTTGGATGCTCTCACTGATCCACACAGGCACATAGAACAGCTACAAAAAGTTTTCACAGGTAAACTCAGCATCCCCTAAGGATTTAGGTCTCCCCCCACAAGGACACCCCGGCTTAGGCAAAGCCACCAAGAGGTGTGCAGGGGCCCTTGGTGGCTATATGCAGCTAGCTCCTTCCGAGAGGCCAGGAGCCAACAGCTCTGTGGAAAGTCGCTCTAGCCACCCATTTGCCCTGGCTGGTCCCCAGGAGCTTGGAGGGACAAGGGCAGTGATGTGAGGACCAAACCATCTGTCTGCCCAGCATGGACAAGTCTGTAGCCTCAGCAAGTCATTCCGTGCAGGTCCTGGCTTGCATCCATCCAGCCAGGAAGCCTTCATCATGCATGTTGTCCTGTCCATGAGACCACTATGTTCTGTCAAGGTCTTGAGACTACAGCTGTGCAAGCTCAGACATTTGACCAGCAATAATCCCACCTCCTTTCCCTATTTGTGCCACAGAAAAAGACTTCCAAAAACGATCCACTAGAAGATTTTCCCATTCATCTCCAGTGTGCTCTGGGTTTGCTAACCCACTGTGGGGGAAGCTTCGGACCTACCAGGGAGGGCAGGTTCCTGAGAGCGGAGAAGACACTCTCACCACCACAGGAAGCCCAAGACTCCACTCAGAGCTGAGAGGGAGCAGGTGAGAGTGAACACAAACTTGTAGGCTGAGCTCCGACATGAGAGAGAGCGCACCAGCTCCCTATCCACTGAGGTCCAGCAGTCATACTGACAAGTAGAGGGGCGGGGCTGGAAAGAGTACCACCTGCCTGCCTGGCCTTCCTTGCAGTGCCTTTACCAAGCTAAGCTGAAAGGGTGGCTGCAGAGTTCCTGCTGTCCTTTCCTGTCCCTGATGTGTCCCTATGTGCCCAGTCTCAGCCTGGCACACAGTGTCTCTGCAGGTGCATGCAGGAAGCCTGTTCAAAATAGCTGTGGCTTGGGCCCGGAGCAATAGTCTAGCAGCTCAAGTCCTCACCTTGAACGCACCAGGATCCCATATGGGTGCCAGTTCTAATCCCCGCAGCCCCGCTTCCCATCCAGCTCCCTTCTTGTGATCTGGGAAAGCAGTCCAGGTCGGCCCAAAGCTTTGGGACCCTGCACCCATGTGGGAGACCAGGAAAGGGCTCCAGGCTCTGGGCTGTTGGTTTCGGATTGGCTCAGCTCCAGCCATTGGTGGCCATTTGGGGAACGAATCAATGGATGGAAGATTTTGTCTTTCCTCCTCCCTGTATATCTGACTGTCCAATAAAAATAAATCTTTTTAAAAAAATAACTGTGGCTTGAGCAAAGAGCAGCCCAGCCAAGTCCCCTGTTGCATCTGTGAGCTGCAGCTCATTTGGGTGTGATTCAGTGTGGAAATGTGCAGGCCAAGAAGCTGCCAACTCATGTTCCATTCAGGAAAATAACTCAGAGGATGCAAAGTTACACCCCTCTTGGGTAGGAGGCCCAAGGGTGTCTCCCTCTGAGCTTAGAAAGCAAAGTCTTTGGCATCTGTCCATGCTCAGCTTGGGGACTGGGACCAGGACACTCAGGTGTCCACAGTGGAACAGCGTGTTTGGTCATTGCTACTAAGCTGTCACAAATGCCATAGGAATCAACATAACACCAGTGGAAATGCTTCTGAAGACTGCCCCAAGTCAGAACTTTCCAGGACAGTTCAAGACCTTTCTACAAGATCTTTCTGATCTGGGTATCCTGCTTGGTTTCTTAACTGATAGCAGGGTTAATAGAAATGCAAACCCCAAACAGGAAAGTTCTCTCTCTCTCTCTCTCTCTCTCTCTCTCGTTCTCCCTCTTTCTCTCTCCATATGAAAAAAAAATACTTCAAATATTACCAGAAAATGCTTTTCTTCATGAGAAACACATGAGCAACTCAAGAAGAGTAATGGTAGGGAGACCGCCCCTTCCCTCCTCCCAGGTCACTCTTGGCTTAGCCTGCAGGTGACAGAGAAGCTCGGCCACACAGCATATGAGGGGCAAAAGCCCAAGGTCTGAGCGGACAGGTACCCCGGGTCCCCTTTCAGGGTCCCTTGCCTCGGCAGGCCACAGGGGTCAGTAGTTAGTACCCAGACTGGAAACTTTAATGAGAACTTTTGCCAAAGCCTTTAGGCTACTTTCCCAGCTCTGTGAACATGCTAAGACAGGTGGAGGAAAAGCCCAAGCACCCCACAGCACACTCAAGGAGAAAGAAACACTGGAGATAGGGCGTGCACACTTGCGGGCACACACACACCTGTCTAAGGCTGATTTACAACCTGCCATCAAGCACACTCTCCCCTGAGCCCTCGCACAGTGAGCAGGGACATCCTTACCATTTTGGACCACACTGATGAGGGTGACGATGGCCAGCAGAACAATGTTGCCCACAGCCTCCTGATCCATGCTTGTTGCAGGTTCCCAAGAGAGAGACTGCTGTGGCCCCGCCTGGCAGTCTGCACAGTGCAGGAAGGGGAAGTGAGGGCCTGTAGACTTTCACCACCAGAGTTTTCAAAGGTCCCAGCCCAATTACACAGCTGCCTCCTCCTCTGTCCTCTTCCTCCCTTCCTTCCCACTCTGAAATCTGCCACCAGAGTGCACAGGCTGTGGCTGTGTACGGTCTGCCAGAAGCAGCACTCCAGGAGGAGAAGCATGGGGTCAGCGTGGACATCTGCAGGGGCCTCCCTCATGGCCTCCAGGATGCATCTCAGACTCCAGGCCCTCTGAGGACCTCGGGAATCTGAGAGTAGCAGTCATCTCTGATCACAAGAAAGAAAAAGAAATGGAGGAAAATGACACTTCTTACAGAGCACCAAAAAAGATGTGTGCTGAATTCTATCCTTCTGCTCTTGAATTTCTAGTAAAAAAAAAAAATCCTAGGGAAAAAAAAAAAAAAGATAGGCTAATAGCCACATAAGACATACTTGAATGAAGCACTAAGTGAATGAATGAATGAATGAATGGCAATGAGTGAACGGCAGGTGCTACCACCTTTTCTGGAGGATAAAAAGAATGAAAGGAAAATAAAAATTAGATCAAAATACTAAAGCTAAACCAATAACTTCAGTAGGGTGCAAAATTGAACTTTAATACCTTAAGGAAGAACTTCCAAGCAAAAAAAGGTTACTGAGGACTGATTTTGGGGGATCCATTTTGTAGCATGTGACACTGGCATCTCACATGAGCGCCAGTTTGAGTCCCAGCTGCTCCACTTCCTACCAGGTCCCTGCCGATGCACCTGGGAAATCACTCAAGTGCTTGGGCCCCTGCACTCATGTGGGAGATCCTGAAGAAGCTCCTGGTTGCAGCCTGGCCTACCCCCAGAGTAAAAGTAGCCATCTGGGGGATGAATCAATGGCCAGAAGATTTCTGTTTGTGTGTCTCTTTCTCTCTATGTATTGTGCCTTTCAAACAAATAAATATTAAAAAAAATGGTTATGGAAACGCCTACCATGGGATTCTTTTCATTGATAGTGAGAATGGAGAGACAGCAGCATTTATGAAAGCACAACAGTGGGCCTGAGAGTGGGTTGGCTGGTCCCCAGGAGAGCCTTCTCAACCTAAACACGACTCTGCTAGAAAATGAGAGGCCCCTGACACTTTCCATCCAGACTCAACTAGCTGGCAGAGTTGACAGAGAAGCTTCTACCAAAACCCCACTGTGAGAGAGAACATTCGCCTCTGTCATTGAAGGCAGCTGGGGACAGCATCTATGCCCAGGAGAAGCCAGTGTAGGGGGAGAGGCCCCAGCCTCCTGCCAAGAGCAGCAAAGGCCATCTTGGGTCCCACTTGGAGAGGAGGACGCTGGCAGAGGCAGTGTGCAGAGCTAAGACTGCTGAATACAGCAGCCAGGACAGGCCAGGCTGGTCATGACACACTTGGGCTCTGAGCATCTGGCACCCTTTGCACAGTCAGAGGTCTACAGAGAAATGAGGCTGATAGGTAGATCTGTGAAAGGGAGGTTGACCGTGGGACTTGGCTCCCGCTATCTGCCGTCTGTGAGCTGCAGGCAGGAAAGCTGCTGGGTTGGAGCAGGCTTAGGGCCTATGGGGGCCCGAGCACGGCGGAGACTTGTGGGTGTGAAAGCTGGAGAATCCAGACTTCCAGGTCCAAGGGGAGAAGACGCAGGTGCCTCAACTCACTCGTGGACAGGATCAAACTTGCCGATCCTTCTCTTGTGTTTTCTATTTAGCTTTTGGATGGATTCAACAACTTCTACTCATCCTGGTGGGGAGGGTCTCCTTTATCTTATCTACTGATCCAAATGCTGATCTCTTCCAAAAGCACCCATCCCCCGCACACATACACCAGTTGGGGGCATTTATTAGCCCCAACTGACACATCAAATTATCCATCACATGGTTATTATAGGGTTTGTGGGTCGATCTTAGGGAGATCACATTGGTAGATGAAACTTATTTATTTTTTTTCCAAGGATATTTAGGTTTTCATAGCGAAGAAGTGTGAACTCCCATGAAGAATTAGCTCTTCTAATGTTTGCCATATCATAGTAAAGATTCATCAAAAAGGAAGACCAATCCTCTTTAAAAATAGTCTAGCTGTGGGCAATAGAAACTTTGCTCAGGGCCTGGAATGATGACTCATTAGATAAATTCTCACCTTGCACATGCCAAGAACCCATATGGGCACCAGTTTGTGTCACGGCTGTTCCACTTCCCATTCAGCTCCCTGCTTCTGGCCTGGGAAAACAGTAGAGTTTGGCCCAAAGCCTTGGGACACTGCACCTGCACATTAGACCTGGAAGAAGCTCCTAGAATTGGATTGGCTCAGCTCTGGCCACTGTGGCCACTTGGGGAATGAACCAGAGGATGGAAGAGTTTTCTCTTTTTCTCTGTAAACCTGCCTTTCCAATATAAATAAATAAAATTTTAAAAACATAAAAAAGAAAGAAATTTTGTTCAAATTGGCTTCAGCAAAAAGGGAAGACATTGGCTCCAAGAACTGAGGAACCAATACTTGAATAGAGTCAAGATGGGGTTGGGCTTTGGAGCTAGGGAATCTCTCTCTCTCTCTCTCCCTTCCTCCATCTATCTACTTATCTCTATCTCAAATGTAGTAATTTTTTAAAGATGTATTTATTTTTATTACAAAGTCAGATATACAGAGAGGAGGAGAGAAGAAGATCTCCTGTCTGATGATTCACTCCCCAAGTGACCACAACAGCCAGAGCTGAGCCAATCTGAAATCAGAGGCAGAAGCATCCTCCAGATCTCCCACATGGGTGCAGGGTCCCAAGGCATTGGGCTGTCCTCTACTGCTTTCCCAGGACACAAGCAGGGAGCTGGATGGGAAGCAGGACTGCCAGGATTAGAACTGGCGCCCATATGGGATCCTGGTGCGTTCAAGGCAAGGACTTTAGCCGCTAGGCTACTGCACCACGTCCTCAAATGCAGTGATTTTAATGGCATACTGCACCACCTCTCTCATCTGTCTCTCTTGCCTCTCTCTCAACATTTGCTTCCATGAACTTCTCTTTGTAACCCATGCTTAATCTCTCTATAGATTAGCATTCTCCACACAGTGGCAAGTAGGTTCAGCTATGATTCTGGACTTTCATATCTCACAGCCCCTGTCACCTATCCAGAATGAACTTCTCTTCCCTAAACAATCAGAACAGCCTTGTGGGCACAGGCTGGCCAGGAACCCATTCCTGGGCAGCTCCCCAGGTGGTAGGAAAATGAAGGAAGGTGGTCATTGCCACAGTCATCATAGGATTGACAGGGAGTCTCCCAAAGAAAGATTGGGAAGGGCGAGTACCATCGTGGTGTGTGACTGTTCACTTTGTGAAATCTTAGATAAAAATGCCCAGCTCATCCCCATCTCCCTCCTGCCCAAGTGCTTGTGTTTTTTGCATTCAAATAAGGACACACTATACAGCCTCAGAAAACAATGTCTGCAGATCCAGACAGGTGGGCCCAGGATGCTCCTGGAATTCTAACCAGCACCAGGGCCTGTGGGGATCCAGCACGAGATGGCCTCTCTTGGCAGTTTCCCAAGCATTTTCAAGTCCCATAAGCAAGGAGGGGAAAGTGTCCAGCCACTTGTTTTTTGGAATGCCCAGAAAACACCTGTTAGAAAACCCAGGCTCCATCCTGAGCTCCTTGGAGTCAGCCATGGAGCAAAGAATGTGCAGGGACCCCGGCTGGTGGAGGGACCCACTTCACCCAGGAAGAGCTGCTAACAATCAGCTGAGAGGGCCATTAAATTGCAGTGAGCACATTAAGATTCTGGCTGCGGCTGCAGAGGAACACTTATCGGAGGTGAAGCCTCTAGAAATGCCATTCATCTCAATAGAGAGCTGCTGAGACTGAGCGAAAAGGAGAGGGGAGACGGAGTGGGGGAGGGGAGTTGCACTCTGCTCAGATTCCTGCTCAGCATGGTCTACAGTCTGCAGCCTACAGCCCACCTTGCGTGGAGCCAGAAACAGTCCAGAGCAACCCAGCATCTAGAGATGAGACTCAGCATGTGTGTCCTGGGGACCTGGCTTGCTTGAGGCATTGTCCCAGGAGCATCCCTGCTTGCTGCCTCCATGCTGCCCTGGAGTCTATGGGACAAATTATTGCCCATCCCCTAGATTGCCCAAAGCAGAGGTTTGGAGATGTTAACACAGTCAACAACGTGTTGCATTTCTAGCAAGGAGTAGAACATGGATCCAAGCCCAGGCCTGGCTATTTTCCAAGTCTGGGGTTCAAGCCACACCACAAGGGCTTCTCAGAGCTGAGATGGTCTGGCCCTTCTGCCTCTGTGCTTGGCAATCCCCTCATAGTCATGGCTCCTCAGCCCCATTGAGTCATTTAAAATAAACAGGAGAGAAAGAAAAACATATACACGCTTCTCAGGAAATAGCACATCCCAGAGACTCCCACCTTCCCCACTCCCACTGCCCAGTTAGTAAAGGTTGCTTAACAAGAACTCTCTCCAGGCTACAAGCCTGCGAGCCCAACCCACTCCCGCCCCAGTCCTGCTCCCAAGCCCTCAGCACTGATGCATATGCCACACTTGTCTCTGTGTGACAGGTTAGTTAGACAAATGTGCTGCAAGTAGGGAAGGATAATTAGCACATTCATTAATTAGAGCAGTGTTAGTGCTTTGCCTGTGAAGGACATCCATTTGTCAACAGAGAGTGGGACAGTTGGGGCCAAGCAGTCACTCAGTGGGGGCAGCCATTCAGGGACAGCAATGGCACTGACCAGCTGCTATTCAAAAGCCCGAGAGCTGCTCATACACTTAGCTTCAGTGTTTCCATCACCATGGCAACAGGGGGCCACTCTGCCCCTCTGCCAGGCAGCTACAGTCACATATTACTTCATTTCCACCTCCAGGTGCATAGTGACATCTCAGGACATCTCTCGCCTTTGCTTCCCAGGCAAGGTTGCCCTTGCTGTTCTTGAGGATAAGGGTCTACCTGTATACAGGCGACATGGGAGGGGTGTGAGTGG